ATACTTTAAATGGGTAAATTGTATAGTATATGAATTATATCTCCACAAAGCTGTTATGGGGCTTCCCTGATAGCTCAGATGGTAAACAATCCACCTGCAATGCAGGAGACCTGGGTTCCATCCCTGGGTCAGAAAGATCCCCTGGAGAGGGGAATGGCTACCCATTCGTGCCAGGAAAATCCCGTAGACAGAAGAGTCTGGCAGGCTACAGTCCATGGGGTTGCAAAGAGTCAGACATGACTGAGTGACTAACACTTCCATTTTCAAAGCTGTTATATCTTTAAAAATAGAGTGATGCAAAAGGAAAGGACTGGGTGGTCTCTTAGATAAAGTGATCAGGGAAATCTTCTTTAAAGAGGTGACATTCAAGTAGAGAGCTGGGTCACACAAAAGGGTCAGGTGAAGATGAGTGAGGCCTTCCAGACAAAGGAACTGCTAGTGCAAATGCCCTGAGGGGAGAACACGCTGGAAAGGTTTAAGGAACAAGAAAGGTTTAAGGAACAGGAAGTTAGGGTGGCCAGGATCTAGTAGGCAGAGGGCTGAGAGTCTGAGATGAGAGCAAATGGTGCAGAACCGAGAGAAAAAATCAGAATTTTTATGTAGCATACCCAGGGAGGCTATTGGAGGATTCCAGATTTTTAAAAGTTAAGTCTAGCTGCTACGTAGAGGATGGATAAAAGAAGGGGAGGAGATGAAGCAGAAAGACCAGTTAGCATGCTGCATAGTCGTCTAGGAAAAACTTGCTAATGGTTTGGACTTGCAATGCAGTAAAAATAAGATCCAACATCTGTTCAGCACCTATATGACAAGCACTGTCCAAGCACCTGACATATATTCATTTGGTAGAAACCCTGGCTCTGCCACTTACTGGCAAGTTAGGCTTAAGAGCCTCCATCTCCTCATTTATAAAATGTGGAAAATAACAGAACCAACCTACCTGATAGAGTGGCTGTGACTATTGTAATTAGATGATGCAACCAGGTAACATGCTTGCCCAGAGTCTAGTACATCATACTGCAGAAGTTGCCCAGTTGTGTCCGACACTTTGCAACCCCATGGACAGTAGACCACCAGGCTCCTCTGTCCATGGAATTCTACAGGCAAGAATACTGGAGTGGGTTGCCATTCCCTTCTCTAGGGGATCTTTCCAACCTAGGGATTGAACCCTGGTCTCCTGCATTGCAGGCAGATTCTTTACCATCTGAGCCACCAGGGAAGCTGTAAGTGCTCCATAAATGGCAGCTGCTATTACTGTTAATTCTGTAGAGACTTAAATTTTCTCCTAAATATTTTATTGTCATTCCCTCAACCATAGGAAAAACAAACAGAGATACAAATCGCCTCTCCTACTGCCTCCAGCTCCAGAAAGTCCAGGGGCAGTTCCTCTGGCTGGGGGGAGTAGGGACAGGGACCCCATTTCCCTGATTGTGCTGACACCTACCTCTTCACAGACCCACGTGTTTGACTTGTCCATCAACAAGTATGAGGCCATCTGCAACCAGGCCGTGGTGGCCAGAAAGAAGAACAAGCTCACCCACGTGCAGTTCAACCCCATCCACCCCATCATCATTGTGGGCGATGACCGAGGGCACGTCACCTGCCTCAAGCTCTCACCCAACTTGCGAAAGATGCCGAAGGTACAGTCTTGGGGAATTCGGGCTGCCACAAAAGAAAGTCTCCAGGATGGCGGGATAGTGGGGAGGTGGGTGGTTGGTGAGAGAAAGGGGAGGAGCCAGGGGATAGCCCCAGGTTTCTGGCTTTGGAGGCCCAGGGTAAGGGTGGTGTCGTTATCCAAGTGAGGAGCATAGAAGTAGGTTTGTAGGGGAACAGATGGGTTCTGACACGCTGAATCTGAACCCCAGGTGGAGACAACAGGTAAGCAGGTGACTAGAGTCCAAAGTCTGGGGGGAAGTACACGGGCATCATTGGCTTGTTTGGTGTTATCCAAGCAGGGGCTCGAGGCTTAGTTTCCGGTCATTCGCTGGGCTTTGCACAGAGCTTCAACTTCAATGGTCCCTGAACTAGGAGCTGCGGGTCCACACAGGAAGCAGGAAATGAGCCATGAGGAGGGTAACTAGGTCAGTAGCTAGGCAGTCCTCCTTTTGAGTTCTGGTTCCTTTCTGGGATCTAGAATGATCCAGAGATCCTGGCCAGAGCCCAAGGGCTCTGAATACAGGCCACAGAGCCCAGAGCCATGACCTTAAAGTCTAGATCTCAGAGTCCTGATTCACACTTAAGAACCCAGACTTTAGAATCCAGAGCCCAAGGGTTCAATTTAAAAATCCAAAAGCCTAGATCCCAGTCCTGTCCATTTGGGTGCTAGGAGGGAATTTGCTCCCTGCTAGGTTCTGAACCAGTGTCAGAGCTGAGCTGGGGCTGAGCCACATTACCCTGATGACTGTACCCCCCGAGTTGCCATTTGAGGCCTTTACTTGCAGTTTGAGGAAACAGCAGGGGCCTCTTTCAACTGCTGACACCTGCCCCCATGTGCCACCACCAAGGCAGGCGCCAGTGCACTAACCCTCTCACGCCAGCCTGGCCTATTCCCCACCATGGCCAGGGAGGCATGGGCTGGGGTTTTGGCCAGGCCTGTAATTGTAGCCAGCTGGGGGAGGGGGTGGACTTGGCTATAAATACTCAGAAGGCTGCTGAGTGCCTGCAGCTGTGGCCCAGAGGCTAGGGGGCAGCCATCACACGTTGAAGGCAGTAGATGTGGCGGGAGGCCTGCCTTGCCCACTCTGACCCAGAGAGGCAAGGGTCTCCCACAGTCTCAACTCCGCAGAGCAAGGGTCAGCATCAATATGTCTAAGGATCTGAGGACATGGGTACCTGGGAGTCAGAGAACCTGAGCAGGTGACAGCTGGGGGCTAGTTCTTGCATGGACTGGCAGTTCCTGTGAAACTGCCACCTGACTCTCTCAGCAGCCAAGTGACTGGGGCCAGAGGAAGTCCTGTGGGCATCCCTCCTGCCCCCCTCTGCAGGCTGCAGTCTCCCTGATCTCCCCAAGAGGGCTGGGCCACAGAGGCCTGACTGCCATCCCAAGGAGCGTCCCGTGACTGGTGTCAGAGCCCACCAAAGGTCAAGGCCTGCTTTCCCCAGCTACTGTCTAGATGGCAGCTGTAGGTTGGAAAGGCAAGGAACTTGCCCAGAGTCATATAGGGAGTTAACAACTAAAAGCCAGGCTTCCTGACTCCCAGGAGATGAGGTGAGGGTGAAAAGAGAACATGAGGTTAACCTGGGAGAGAGAGAGGGAAGGGAGAAAGAGACATCTTTGTCCTCTGCCTCACGAGTGTGGGGGTGAGCGGGGCAGGGGCAAAGGCGCTGTGCCACGAGGGGAGAGGGAGACAGATTTGGAAACAGGTGCAGGAGTCACGCCAGGAGGAAATCTGAGCTCCACCGGGTGTCGGCAGCCAAGATGGGCCAGAAAAGGGCCCGCGGGCCCCACCTCTCCCCCCACCTCACAGCCATGGCCAGATCCAGGCTGGGTCCCCAGCAGGCAAGACTGGGGCAGGTGCCAGTGAGCCCTGGGCACAGGTGGCTGAGAGGGCAGGGGGCTCGGGCACAGAGGGAAGGCAAGAAATGGCAGCTCCCCCAGCCCAGCCAGCACCCCGCTGCCTGGACAGAAGGGAGGATGGCGCTGGTGCTGGTCTGCCAAGGAGCTCTCAGGCCTGGGAGTCACACACACCCAGGGGCCCAGCATGTTTTCTCAGGGCCCAGCTTACCAGCGAACGGATGAGAGTGCCCTGTAGGCAAGTAGGCAAGTGTGTGTGTGTGTGTGTGTGTGTGTGCGCGTGCGCCTACGCGCGCACGGTCATGTCTGACTCTTTTGTGATCCCACGACTAGCGTGCCATCCTCTGTCCATGGGATTTCCCAGGCAGTAAGTTGCCATTTCCCACTCCATTGGATCTTCCCAACCCAGGGGTCGAACCCACGTCTCTTGCATCTCCATTATCAGGCATTCTTTACCACTGCACCACAAGTGAAACGCTGTGGCCAGGGGTCGGGGGGTGGGGTCATTAATTTAAGACCCGCTGTTCTCAGGGACCACATGGGACGTGCCATCTGCCCTCCTGACACCCTCCCCTACCTGGGAATAACTGACACAGCAGGCCTGGCCCCAAATGGTACCCCACTCCCTGCCTGAGCTGGGAGTACTGGGTAAGAGCACCTGTGGCTTTGTCCACACTTTCCCTCCACAAACACACACACCTTAGCTCCTCGTTAGGACTCAGCCAGAGACCTTCCTGTAGGAAGGGTGGTCCCGACCGGTAGAGGTCTGGGACTATAGCTCTTCCTGGCTTGCCCCCCTCCCCGCTGCCCCCACCATCAGGATTCCATGTCCATCTGAGGTTCAGAAACAAGACTTGGATGTTTCTTTCAGGCCTTAGCTGGGCCCTGGTCATCGAACGTGAGATGGGGAAGGATCCTGCAGAGGTTGGGGGAGGCAGAGGTCTGGACGCTAACCAGGAAGGAGAGGGAGGCAGGGGTCCAGAAGCTAACTGGGAGGAGAGGGCGCGGCAGTGCTGGGGTAAGCTGGGCTGAGGAGGTGATGCTGGGAGGCGGCGAGAGGTGGCCTCTCCCTCACCAGTCCTCCCTACTGTGTACTTCTCTTCTCCCCAGGAGAAGAAGGGCCAGGAAGTACAGAAGGGGCCAGCCGTGGAGATCGCAAAATTGGACAAACTGCTGAACCTGGTGAGGGAAGTGAAAACCAAGACCTGAGGGCCTGGCCTCTGAACCTGGCCCATGTCTTGAACCTAGTACTTGTAGCCCCTGACCCTGGTACCCCAGCCCAGCCTTAGTACCCAGTATGTGTCTGACACTACCCCTGATCAGGTCCCAGCCCCCTGCTCTGGCCCTGGTCCCATCACCTCACCCCAGGACTTGGTCCTGAACCCCTGTTACCCTCGCTTACTTTGCACAAATAAACCTGTCTGGAAGTCCACCCACATCTTTAATTTTGCTACAGCAGGGCCCCCAGGAAGAGGAGAGAATCTCAGCGTAGAGCCTTAGATCCATTTATTATCCAGCAAACAGTAGGAGGACCAGAGGAGGGGCCCAGCCTGGACACCCTCCCATTATTGCCATGGATTCTAGTTTGCTTCCCCAACCTTGAGGGCCGAGAGGCGCTTGGCCTAGGGGGAGGGTGGACCCCACCCCCGACCGCTGGGATGGAGGAGAGTCCAGATGGCCCTGGCCCTAGCACCAACTCATGAACCCCTGCCCCAGGCCTGTCTACCTAGGGCCAGCAGGGCCCCTCTTGGAGCCAGGCCAACCAGACACTGGGCGGCTAGGTCCAGTTCCACACAGGCTGGACTCTGAGTTCTGGACCCCAGGCCGGCTGGACCCTGGGATCCCGATTCCAGGTGCCAGGTGAGGTGGACTTAAGTCCCAGACTCCGGGCTAGGCCAAGGGCCGTCAGGGCTGCAGCAGGTAGCTGCCTTCATGGCTGGACTTCTGGGGCGGGGGTGCCTTCTCAGGACAGGGGCCAGGGCTGGAGTTGGGACTGGATTCGGAGAGGGAGTCGATGTTGGCAGAGCGCGAGTGGCAGGCCCAGCAGAGGATGACCCAGAGGAGCAGCAGCAAGAACCCGACGAGGCCGTTGCAGATGATGGCGATGAGGGCCCCCTGGGAGAGGGCTGCCCCCATGACGGGCGCACCCTCAGACGAGCACAGGCTGAGAAGCTGCCTCAATGGCAGGACCCATGCCGAAGCAGAGCGCCGGGACAGCCGGCCTTCCACACACTCAGTGATCCCTGGGCAGTGGAGATGTCTGAGCCTGTGGGGGTACACAGCAGAGGCAAAGTATGGTGAGAAGGAAAGGGGAGGGTGAGGCCGAGGGGGAGAGGGTGGAAAAGACAGTCCCCTCCCAGACCTCTGGGTTCCCAACAGGTCTAAACACCCCACAGAGCCAGGACCTGGCTCTGGGCACCTGGATGGGGGTGTGGCCCCAGTGGGGAAGCCGGAGTGGGCATGGCCTGGACCTGTCCACTGAACGTCCAGCCCTCAGAAGAACTGTAGGAGTGGGTGGGCTTGAGGAAGCTCAAGGCCTTGAAGGATGGGCACTGTGACCAGCTTTGGTGTGGCCTGGGCACCTCCCTGCTCTCAGGACTTCAGCCAGCCGGCCCAGGAGACCTCCAGAGGCGCCAGCTCACACAGAGGGAACTTTGTGGAGGCCTGGCAGGCGTGTGTGGGTCTGTGTACCCAAAACTGTGTACCTAGGTGCGCCTGTCGGAGAGGCTGTTTCGCCAGGTCAGGTGCGTGCGTCTCTGAGTCTGGCTCTTACTCTGTCCCTCGGTTCGTGCCTGGATGTGCGCCTCGGCCTCTGTATACCCAGCTCCGGTGTATACCCATCTGTAGCTCTCTGTATACCTGTCTCTCTTATGTGTCCCCATCTCTGAGTCCTGAGCGTCTCTCGTGTCTCCTTTCTCTCCTAGTCTCTTTCTTTGTCTATCTCTGGATCGGTCTCTGTATGCCTAGGTCTCCTGTGGCTCTCGTCTCTCTTTCTCCCCGCTGCGTGTCCATCTGTCCCCGTGGACGTGTCTCTCTCCCCTCTCTGTGAGGTCTCTGTAGTTCTCAGAGCGTCTCTCGCGTGTCTGTCTTTGTGTCTGACTCTCTTTCTCCCCGGCTGTGTCTCCGAGTCTTAAGCCTCTTTATCTCCGTCTCTGGTTCTCAACCCCCATGCCCGTGGTGGGTGGGCCCCTCTTACCTGAGTTAAGCCCGGTGCGCGCCCGCGGGAGGATCCGGGCTAGCGGGATGCTGGGCGCCGAATGATGCTCGGGAGCCTGCGGGCGGGGGGCAGCGGGAGGCGGGCAGGGGTGACGTCCCCTCCCCCGACCCTCCCCCTCAGCAGCGCAGCCTCCGCCGGCCGCTCCCGCCGCGGCGCGACCGGGGCGGCCTCTGCCGCGGGCGGTCTGCGGCGAGCAGCCACCTCCTCCCCCTGGGGCGGCGCCTCCTCCGCGGCCGCGGCCGCTCGCCTGCTCGCACGGCGGCGCTCGGGCGGTGGCGGCGGTCTGGGCGCGGGGTTCGTCTAGGCTCGGCTGCGTTCGGCTGCGTTCGGCTGGGCTCGACTGGTCTCTCGGCTAGGCTCGGCCAGGCTCCGCCGGCCGCAAAAACAGCGAAGGAGCCCCGCCTCCTGGGAGGCCGCGGCCGGCGGCTTGCCGGAGGAGGAGCCATCCCTCGCCGCTGCCGCTATTTAATTGGCTGCCCGTGCCAGGCTCCCTTGCCATTGGTTGTGCCCTGGAGCAGACTGGCCCGCCCCTTGTGCGGGCGGGGGCGGGGGCGGGAAGAGGGCTGAAGGGGCTATTCAGTCCGGATCCCTCCCCCGGGGCAGGGGACAGGAGCGGGACCCACCTATCTGCGGGGATTTCTTGCACCTACCTCACCAGGAAGATCTGCACACCCAAAAGCTGAGAAAGGCCAAAGGCTCTGTATCCCTCTACTTGAGGGGACCACCCCTTCATATCTGCGAGAGGTCTCTGTCCCTTTCATCTGCAGGAAGGCACTGGGATACCACATCCGGGAGGAGACCGAACCTCCTGGTGTGGAAGTCCCTTGTACCCCGCACGTCCACTCTCACCTGAATGTGAACCCTGCATCCCCACTTCAGGGGGTCTGTGGTTGGTTCCACATTCCATGACCTCAGGAGGTGTGAGCAGCTCTGACAACATAAGTTGTTTTGACACATGTTGAATTCCCACCCAGTATTGGTCAGGCTTCGTACTCTGACCTTCTATGGAGGAGCCTAGGACAGAGAGGAATGGGGTATTTTCAGGGATGGCTTAGCTCTGGCTGGAATAGAATCAGGCATGACTGTCTGTCCCAGAAGCTCCTGACTCCTCCATCTAGAAGCTCTTCTAACAGAAAGGTCTGCTTGGGCAGGAGCCATCAGGTAGGGCTTCCTACCCTACTTTATATGCCAGTGATTCCTCATTGTTCAGAATGGACCCTTTTCTCATTCCACTAGACATACTCTGCCATGGGTAAGCACGGCTCTATACCGTGAAGTCTTCTCAGTGCTCCCAAATCCAATGTTAACTTATCTCTGGACTTCTGGATGCAAATCCAAGTGCCAATCAGAATCAGGGTGGTGTTGATTTCTGGTTCTGCCACTTAACTAACTTTGTGACCTTGAGCAAGTTACTCAACCTCTTTTAGCCTTGGCTTCCTCATATGTAAAATAGTTTAGCCTCAGCTTCCTCATCTGTAATAGCTTCCTCTGAGGATGGTATTTATACCAGACACATCTCAGCAAATGCCACATCTCAGCAAATGCCAACTGACACAACCCCAGGGACCAGGGTAAGGGACCCCCTTCCGTCAATGACATCTCTATAAATCCAAGTCTTGTCTTGAAAATGAGACAGGGAAGGGTAAAACAACCTGAAAGGCTGAGTCATCCAAACCTACTGAGTTACTTAGACCTGTCTAAAATAAATTTTCAGACCCGACTGAATTTACCAGAGTGGATTAATTTTAGTTTCCCCTGCTCCTATTACCCAGCAGGGTGGGGGCACTGTGAACAAGATCAAATCAGTTCTAGGAAAGAGAGAAGACTAATAATATTGCACATCTGAGTGTAATATGAGTGAATTTGTGACCCAGCTGCAGGAGTTTAGATTTTATCCAGAAGACAGTGGGGAGCCACTGAAGAAATTTTGAACAGAGGAGTAAATGTGATCATATTCAGAAATTAGAAGGATGATTTGGGCTGCTGGGTACAAGAAGGGATAGAAGACATTTGAGAGCGAGGCAAAGGATTGAAATGACGTAGGGAAATAGGAATGGAGAGATCAAGAAAGCATTGAGAATACAATTCTCTAAGTTAAAATTGGCAGGACTTAGAGCCCTAAACCTATTGGATATGAGGAGTAAGAGGGAGGAAAAGTCTGGGATAACCCCCAGGCTGGTGATAGGGATGCATGTGTGCATGTTCAGATGCTTCAGTTGTGTCTGACTCTTTGAGACCTATGGACTGAAGTCCACCAGGCTCCTCAGTCCATGGGATTCTCCAGGCAAGAGTACTGGAGTGGGTTGCCATGTTCTCCTCCAGGAGATCTTCCCCACCCTGGGATGGAACCCGGGTTTCCTGGGTTCCATATTCTTTACCGCTGAGCCGCCAGGGAAGCCCAGTGATAGTGGTACCATGATGCTATTTGCTAAGATAGAGAACACAGGAAAAGGAGTAAGTTTCAACAGGGGTTTGAGGTGGGGAGGTGATGAGTTCTGTTTTGGGTATGTTGAGTTTCAGGTGCCAATTGGACATCCAAGTTGAGATGTTCACTAGATGGTTGGATAAACAGGTCTGAGGTGCAGGAGAGAGGTCCAGGTTGAAGATAGCATTTTGTGAGTTTTAGCACAGGAGTAGCAGTCGAAGAGAGTGAAAGAACTCATCCAGGAAAAATAGGAACTGGTATAAACAAAAAGATACATTTATAATCAGATACCTGAAACCTAAAGACAAGGATGCCTCAAGAACAACTGAAACTAATAGGTACAAAAGCCATTAGCTTCTCTCTCCACTTTTCATCTCTCTTATTTTCTGTCTCCTTCATTTCCATCTCCTGCCTTCCCTGAGTATTGTCATCCCCACCCCAAGACTGACTTCCAATGCTCTTCTGGTCCATGTGCTGAAAAACAAAACTTCAGACAACCCCAAAGCTTAAAATCGTACTGTCTAGGCATCCAAAAAGACACTGGCTTCGTTTTTTTGGCTGCAGTTTGCATGTTACTCAGGAAGCACTTTGATTGGCTCAGCTTAGTTAGAGGCTTGGACCAATTAACTGGGGCCAAGGAATGGATGAGGAACAGATTGCTTAACATGGCCCTACAGTCATAACTGTATGGACTTTGGGATGAATAGAGCAGAAGAGAGATTCTGAAAAAGCAGAATGGCATTTGTTCACTATAGTTCATTGTTTGCACAGCACAAACACATTGTTTACCTATATGTATGGTTCCAGAAATGCCCTCGCCTGTTTCATCCAGCTATCCCACTGTATATATGCCAGTAAATTAGCTTCCTTTTCAGTGGAGGACAGCTCAATGACACATCCAGCTGTTGNAACCACTAGGAAGCCACTGCTGTTGCCACTACCACTCCCAAAAGCTAGACACTTGTGCTATAGGAAATTGAAGTCCTATGTCCAACTTGCCTCCTTTCATATCGGTCAGAACTCGTTAGATAACACAGTACTTACACACAACCCCCAGATCTTACTGGCTTAAAACAGCAAAGATATATTTCTTGTTCAGCTACAGTTCCATTATGGGTGAAAGGGAGAGGAAGAGTCTTCTCACTGGAGTCACTGAAGGATCTAAGCTATTGGAAGCTCCACCAGCTTACAATGCCACCTTCTTCTTCTTTAAATAATATTTTAAAGTATTTATTTGGTTGCACTGGATCTTAGTTGAGGCACACAGGGTCTTTTAGTAGTGGCATGTGACCTCTTGTTGCAGCATGTGGAATCAAGTTCTCTGACCAGGGATTGAACCTGAGCCCTCTGCATTGGGAGTACAGAGTCTTAGCCCCTGGACCACCAGGGAAGTCCTGATGCTACCTTCTTGATATGAACTTTCAGAGTTGGCTGTGGCAGAAGAGAGTGCGGTTGGAAAGCGTATACTGGCTTCTGCTCACACTGCATTGATCAAAACAAATCTCATGACCACAAGCACAGTCCTCCTGGTGCTTAGAAGGAGAGGAGAACCAGAAATACTGCTGAACTTTAGTGATATTTACCTCGCTCAGATTGCTCACTTCCGATCAAAGATTCATGTGGGGGAAGTAGCATGCCTGTAGACAAAATGCAAGGGGTGCCTGGAATTTTAGTTCTGACTTCTGTATTGAGGAAGCTAGGTTTTTTTGTTTTTTG